GTTGACAGATGTCTTTTACCTACACAAATATAAAACAGAAAATTATCATTAGCTGACTTGTGCACACTGCACATTCCATACTTGTGTTAATACAGATATGTATGTTACCTTTAAAAGCTTGTGTGTTTTCAGAGAAAAAAAAAAAGAACCAGACATCAATGAATAAGACAAGTAGCCCAGGTAATACAGCCTCACGGATGCCTCTGTTACAGTTTCCTCAAAAATCTACATACAGGAAAACTTCAAAGCTACTAACTAAGATGGTCCAGCCTCATAGACTACTCTTGCCAGGACTTTGGATAAACCCTGCACTTTCCCATCACACAGAGACTGAACAATAAATGATACAGCTAGCTCTCCCAGGACTTGACCATTATCTCAATTTTCTCAGAGTCCCTTAAAAATACCATTAACCCTACACTGCAGGAAATAAATTGAAGAATATGATGCCCATATTCTCAAGAGGTGGGGTGGGTAGTTTTTGGTCAGTTGGTGAGTTACAGATATTTATAGTCATTTAGAGGGGTTGGTTGCAAGTTGTTATTGGTCATGGTCAGGGAGGAAACTAAGGAAAGGAGATTAGATTAAGGATCTCATTCTGAAAAGAAAAAAGGGAGGAATATAGGAATGATAGGAAAAAGTGTAGATTATTGAATCTATTTTTAAATGAAAAAAGTAACTACTGGTCTCAAATATTTGAAATTGGTATGGATTTTTGTATACTGATACAAATTTAAGGTTATTTTGTTAGAACATACTATAGATGTATGTGTGTGTTTCTACTCTTGTTTAAGGTATTGTACATATGCAGCTCATATAAAAATATAATGTAAAGTTCTAGTCTTTCAAAGCTAATTAGAATAATAAAGAAATGCAGGTTAGTAGTCAGTCATCTGTAACAATCAAACTTAGGTATATTTTCAAGGTCATATAGAGATATACTTTAGATAGATAGATGATCTTCAAACACTTCAGAGATCTACAGACTATGGCATTTAAGATGTTTTAATAACATAAGGCTTTTCATGGCAGTAAGACATGTCTGCTTCTGGAAACACCAATCTAATTAAGAGAAGATGATGTGCACGGAAGAACCTCCATATTGAGTTTGCTTTCATTGTGACAAATTTAGCCACTGGACAAGAAACTGTCTTTGCCTCAACTGCTGACAGTATGCTGTCCAAATTGGACAAGCAGGACACAACAAGAGATGATTGCCAAACTTTGCCAAGACAAGGTAAGATAGTTCTTCAAAAATTCCTATTTCACAAAAAAAGTCTGCCAGATATTCTAGACCTGTAGGTCAAAGATGGATTTTCTACCTCCTAAAGGCTCCATAACCTCAAACAGTTCGACCAGCTGGGAACCGAGTGTTCAAATACAGGAGCCTATAGAAGACATGTCATATTAGGACCACAGCAGTAGTTATCAACAAGATGAAACAAAAAAGGGGAGTATTTTGCTCATTTCTGATTCTATAATTTGTACCTTTCAAATTATCCAAAATTCATTCGATAGGGTTGGTTTAAATGAAAATACTTTAAGATATTTGTTATAAGCTGGGTGGTGGTTGTGCACGACTTTAATCCCAGCACTCGGGAGGCAGAGCCAGGAGGATCTCTGTGAGTTCGAGGCCAGCCTGATCTACAGAGTGAGATCCAGGACAGGCACCAAAACTGCATAGAGAAATTCTGTCTCGAAAAAAAAAAAAAAAAAAGATACTTGTTATTATAGTAAGTAATAGCTCACAGAAGAGTTTATGATACTCTGTTCCATACATGGATCATTTGAGATAAAGGCTTAAGGCCATAGGACAATCACTCTTTGCAGGGTAGAGTATCTGGAGCTAGTTTGCGCTTAGATGATGAAGTGTGCTGTGTTATTTGGGGAAGCTGACGTGCCATGCACACATTCCAGATTTCATGCTCTGGCCTAGTGGACCTGAGTCATGGTGACTGATGGAAGAGAATGCTGACCTCAAGTTAAGGGCTAGTAGGTTGATTAATAGCCGCTGTGTGAGCTTTGAGTATCTAACAGATGCATCATTAGCTCCCAGCAAACATCCAACCTTTGGAGGTCATAGTTATGATTATAGACCACTAAATACACAAACACCATAAAACAGATCAAATGGCCTTTTATGTGCTGGAGATATTTAAAAATTGAGCTGTGTGGTCCATGAATACAGATTCTGTTAGTAGTCTAAGATTTTGCTGAGCTTTCAGAAGCAAGTGCAGAAACCGTTAGCTGCGGTGTCTTAGTTATAGTTTCTATTGCTGCAACCATGACCATAAAGCAAGTTTATTTGGCTTACACTTCCACATTGCTGCTCACATTGAAGGAAATCAGGACAGGAACTCAAGCAGGGCAGGATCTTGGAGGCAGGAGATGAAGCAGAGGCCATGGAAGGGTGCTGCTTACTGGCTTGCTCAACCTGCTTTCTTATAGAACTCAGAACCACCAGCCAAGGAATGGCACCACTCACCATGGGCTGAGCTCTCCTCTATTGATCACTAATTGAGAAAACGCCTTATGGCTGGATTTCATGAAGGCATTTCCTCAACTGAGGCTCCTTCCTAGCTGATGACTCTAGCTAATGTCAAGTTGACACACTAAACCAGCCAGTACATGCAGCATACCTCACCATCAATGTTGCATTAAAATTTAACCATTCAGTCATGTCTAAGAGAAATCTTTATTATAATCCAGTATTTTCAGGACTTCACAATTTAATTTGGTTCAACATTATCTTTTGGCAAATTAATTATTTTCACTTCAATCTCTTATTCAAGGAATATTTTTAAAACTCAGTCTTTAAAATTATTTAAATTTCGAAAAGATAAAACCATCACTCACATGGTACTCTTTCTTATGTGGAGAATACATCCAGTCCCTTATAAGAAGGCAACATTTTTGTTTCTTGGTTACTAAGTACCATGAGGTCCAGTGAAAATCATTCTAAACGTACAATATGTGAGAATGCCCCTGAAGTGGATAACTACCAGGATTATTTAAAAAAAATTTTAAAATTTCTACTTTAGCTCTTCTCCAGGCTGCGGGGAAAGGAGGAAGAGAAGAGAGAAATGACAGACAGAGAAGAGTTGACTGACAAATCAGGCAAGTACAGTAATAACAACTGAGGGGGAACGCAGGTTACAGCTCTTCCCAAGCTCGTTAGAAACTGGACCTGGGATGGTTTGAACTGTGAGGACATAAGTCTGTGTTGTTTAAGCCACTCAGGCTGGGGTATTTGGCCAGCAGCAAATACAAAAAACCAATACACTTGAACAAAACCCGTGTAGTCACTTTTAACACACGAGGGCTTGGAGTATGATTAAGTATCAGGAAAACTGTGAGGACACCAGCTTTACATTTCCTTCCAGGTCTTGTCAACACAGAAGACAGTAGAATCTAATTATTTGTACATATCTTTTTTGCTTTGTTTTAGTTAGGTTTTTTGTTACTGTTGTTTGGGGACAGAGTCTCACTATGTAGCTTTGGTTGGCTTGAACCTATTATATAGTAGACCAAGCTGGCCTCGAACTCACAGTAATCCACCTGCCTGTGACAAATATTGGAATTAAAGGTATGCACCATCATGTCTGGCTTGTACATCTCTTATAAGCCACAAAATAATAAAAAATAAATAAGACTTTCAATATCATGCAGTAAAGTCAAGTTTTCTTTAATAAACTGTATTTGAATCTAAATGTAAAACAATAGGAGACTGATAAACGTTGATGCTTTGTCTACATAACCATGGATTGTTGCTTTGGGAAACTGCAAAAAGTATTTGTGTTTTCTTAAATAACAAATTAAAGTGACAAAAATTTAAAGAGTAACGTAAATTGAAAGCAATTATAATAGATGGCTGGAATATGAATCACTTTCCTGGCATTTTTATTTTCTGAATGTTGTAAGATATTCTTCTTATAAATTTTTAAAATGAATTCAAAGTACCTTTGGATCTCTTTTGTAGAGAGCTGTCTTTCATCAGCTAACAGTGTCTTTTATTTGTTATTAAAGATTCCAATTTGGAGTTGTTTCATTTAACTGCTAGTACTGTCGTTTTAAATATTCAGAGTCAAAGATGACTAAATAAAACCAATAAAATGTTTCAACTTTGATGAAATTTGAAAGCTCTAATTTAACACATAACCACATACTATTCAAGAAGAGTACTGTGGCACCTGGATATACTCACCTGTCTATAAACATCAAGGTTTGTATCAGGGGCTACAGATGTTTGCTGCTGTAGCAAAGGACCCTTCTTCAGATCCCAGCACCCATGTCAGGGGGCTCACAATCCACCTGTAGCTCCATGCCCAGAAAGATCTAATGCCTCTGGTCTCCATTGGTAACTTCACTCACCCATGTGTACATACCCATACATAGACACACATATACATAATTAAGAATAATATTATAATACATCTTTTTAAAAGTTAAGATTATCAATGCTTCAGGTGAAAATGAAATGATATTCTTAGAAACAGAAATATATTTGCCCCTCACCAGAGCTGGGTCTAGATGGTTAAGTATGAGTTGGTACATGGGCCTCAGCTGTTTATCATTCCCATAAACTCTCAACATTGACAAATCATTTCTAAGGTAGAGTTAAGGCATTGGCTTTTCATCCAAACTGTCTGAATTTGAATATTTATACCATCCCACTAGCTTTTCTGACCCTGTGTGAGCTAGGAAGCATTAGATGAGTTAGGATGGCTATGGCAATGCCGAAGCATGCAGGTTTACTTCTTATTCGTGCTCATTTCCATCATGATGGAAGGTGGAATTTTACTCCGCATAGTTATTCAGGAATCCAGGGTGAGGGAGACTCTAGCATGTGGTGGCCATAGATACACTTCATCTGTTTTAAGCACCAGAGAAGCACATAGTAGCAATTAAATGCTCCAGCAGAGAAGTGACCCACCACACAGAAATGACCCATCCCATACATCACTTCTACTCACACCTCACTGTCCATCACTAGTCACAAGACCACCTAACTGTGAGAGGGTAGGAAAGTGAATCCCCCAGCATACCTATGAAGAAAAGACCCAGGGAAAGATGAACACCTTGAAGACATCTCAGAATCATCACTTTATCCTTGTGGCTCCATTTCTCTATCTGTAGGATAAAGATAATGATCATGACTGTCGGCTGAAGTTACTGTAAGCACTATGTTATTATGCACTGAATATTTTGAACTGTACCAAGCAGAGGGTACAAAAAGATGAAATGGCTCTCTCCACCCCAAAAGTCCACACATTAGTATAGAACAGGGTTATGTACGTGATAATTCATCAGGAAATACGATTAACCTAACTTTGGGAAATGGTGCTCATTCTGTCTACTCAGTTACTTAAAAGGGCAGCAGCATAGGAGCATGGAATTGGCTACGGGGGTGGCGGTTACCAGTTTGGCTCTTGGCTCTACCATGTATTTGCTGTGACTTAGTGACTTAAGCGCTCCTAAGCCTTAGGTTATCATTTGCTGTAAGACACTGAACTTAAAAACACCCACCTGGGATTAGTTCAACGAAAAACAGCATAACATGTAATGTTCAGTTCAGTTAGTTGGAGCTATTATTCTAAATACATTCTTAAACATTTTAGACAGAAAGGTCACACTGACAAATATGCATAGAGATCTTGTAAGCCTTCCCATGATTAGTGAGAAGTAAAATTTAGCTAGCTTATCCCTGTGGGGTTATTTCAGTTTAAAATGGAAAATAAAGAATAAAAACATGGCTGGAGAGATGATTCAGTGTTTAAGAGCATTGCCTGCTCTTCCAGAGGACCTGTGTGCCGATTTCAGCACCCACACTGGGTGGCTCACAACTGCCTGTAACTCTACCTCCAAGGAACCCAATGCTTCTATATTCAAAAAGACACATATATACAAACAAATAAAAAGTAAATTATTCAATAGAAAAAAGAAAACGAAACCTGCATAGCCCGGAAGGATATAGGTCTTGATCTAGTCTTCTTCTTTTGTACTAGCTGTGTCAGCAAAATCCTTACAAGTTTGCAACATCCCAAAGGGCATCTCCTTTTGACTTCTCCTTCCTCTAGTCCACTTCCATCTTCTTCTACCTTCCAGTACTGAGCCCCTAGGGAGGGCCTAGCAGGTCCCTGCTCCCAGCAGCTCCACACTTTGCTGCCTCCATTTGTAAACTCTATAAAATGGTCAGGAAAGGAGAATAAAGCATGCTCAGGGTAAATCAACTGAAAGGAACATCTTTGGGTGGTCTTTTAATTCACACTCAATGAGTTTTCAAGCCACTTTGAATACTTGTCTTTGGCCAAGCATCTTTTCTGTCGTCCGTCTTTTCTGGTATGTGATTGTTCAGACAGCGCAGCAGCATCAGGATGAGCATTCACTGTCAACCAAAGCTCATTTCTGAATAAGACCATCATATGGCTCCCAATTCTACTAGATTTGAAAGAAATGGCTTTAAGCCCACAATATAATAGAGAGTTGGTATTGTGTTAAATGTGAATTTGTAATAGTTGTCCATATGCTTTTGTACTGTGTAATTTGTGATATCTCTAGGCAATCAATTTCAATATATAATGAAAGCTTACAACACAGCAATAAATTAACAGATTAACCTTTCATGAAATCATATGTACTCCCCTAGAATCAGAATAAGCTTCACAAGGCACCACCCTGGGTGTGGCACTGTAAACATCAGGAATCTAAGAGTATGAGAAGGGTTTTGGTCCTAGGCCTTTCCCATCCAACCATCTACTTGGTGAACTACAGAGAACTCAAGAAGCAGGGCTCATTCCCTCCCTTGCTCTATCCCCAGACACCAAACACCAGAGCATCCTATGTGCTGTTCTCATCTGCAGTCCGTGGACTCCTTCCTCCATGGCACAGTGCTGCCAACCTTGCCTCCAGACGCTCATCTTTCTTCTTCTAGCCCTGCCCCACGCATGCCCACAGCCTCTCTTACTCCTCTCTCCCTGCCAGGCAATGGAGAGGACCCCACAAGGGAGAAGCCAGTGTTCCTGACTGGGATGAGACTGTGTCTCCTTCAGTTGATAGCTAGGCCCCTCAAGTGCCCTAATTACCTTTTCTAAAGCATCTCTGCTTCCTTTCTTCCTATCATTGCAGCTGCACATTTCTTCTACCTTTTTGTGAGAAGTCCAAACTAAATGATGTGTGTATGCTTCATTTGGGAGCAATGTTTAGTCCTGTTTCACAGTATATATTATGTTCCTTTGTATGTTCAAGTATTCCTTTTCATGAATTAATACTTTTTTGTAACATAACTTTTTATTTTAAAATTATTCTTTTTAAATATTTATTTTACTTAAAATTTAATGTATAAATGTTTGTATCTATCTCTGTGTGGTTATGTAGATGTGAGTGTAGTGCTCCTGGAGGCCAGAGGAAGGCGTCAGATCCCCTGAGTCACCCAAAATGGATGCTAGGATCTGAACCACAAAGTCATCTCTTCAGCCCCTAAAAATTATTCTTTGGACCTGGTGAGATGGCCCAGTGAGTAAAGGAGCTTGGTGCAAGCCAGATGACCTAAGTTAGATTTCCCAGTGCCTATATGGTAGAAGCAGAAAACCAACTCTCACAAACTGTCCCAGTCTAACCTCTACATGTGCACCATAGCACTCATGAACGCACACGAGTGTGGAAACACACACACATTAATACACACGTGTACACATTAAATAAATAAATCTTGTTTTAAATTTAAAAAAACTTACTTTCTTATTTATTCACTGAACAAGTATTTTTTCCTGCTACTGCAGCAATGGGGATGAATAAGACCTTTCTCATAGCACTCTCATTCTGTTGGGGCAAACAGACACTGAACAATAAATAACATAGGTATTTGATTACAGTCGTGTTACGTGTTTAGAAGGAGAAAAACAGGTTCATAAGAGAGTACGCAACAAGGCCTTTGACCTCATCTAAAGTGGGAGAAAGGCCTCCTTGAGGACACGTAGACTGAGCCGAGACGGAATTTGCTGGGAAGAAGATGAGGGCCAACAGGTGGGAAGGAACAGGGACCAGAGATGATAATGGGGGGTGGAAGTGGTGGCGGTGGTGAATACAATCAGACTACAAGTTAGGTGTTTCTGAAAATGTCCTCATGGAACCATTAGTTTGTAATTATTATAATATAGTTCCTATATACTATTTTAAAATAAAGAAAATTGTGGAAAGGAGATAGGTGGAGCAGGGGCAAGAGCCACAGAAGAAACGTCCCAGAAAGAGAAACACGTGCAGAAGCCCTGGTGAAGGCAGAAGACAGCTTCTCTGGAGAGCTAAAGAATAGAGCTGAAATGTAACTATGAAAGTGGTGGGTACCCTTGAGGAAACTGAAAAGCAGGGAGGGGACAGGGCATGCACAGACTTGCTGGCCATGCTAGAGGCTTTGGTCTTTACCAGATGAGGCATAGAAAAATTTGAAAGATGGTAATAGGATGTGACTTGGTAGAATATAAAATGCCCCCATGGGTGCAAGTGTTCCAACATTTGGTCCCCAGGCGGTGGCACTGTTTTGGGAGGTTGTGTAACCTTTGTAAGAGAGGTTGATGGAGGAAGTGGGTTGTTAGGTGCAAGCCTTGGGGTTATAGGTCAGCCCTGCTTCCTGTGCTCTAGCCACTTCCTGACTGTAGCTGTGACAGCTGCCTCATCCTCTGTTGCCATGGCTTCTCCACCACGACTGATTGTATTCCTTCAAAGTGTAATCCCAAAGAAGCCCTCCCCCTGCTTAAGTATTATTATGAGAAAGGTGACTAATACATGGTTTTTCTTTCTTTCTTTCTTTTTCTTTCTTTCTTCCTTCCTTCCTTCCTTCCTTCCTTCCTTCCTTTCTTTCTTTCTTTCTTTCTTTCTTTCTTTCTTTCCTTGGTTCTTTTTTTTATAGTTAAAAAAAGTCTGTGTATGTGTCTTTATGAGGTTATTGCATGTGAGTACAAGTGCCTGAAGAGACCAGAGGTGTTGGGTTCCCCAGGAGCTGGAGTGACAAGTGGTTGTGAACCACCCATTGTGGGTACTGGGCTCCAAAATTTGGTTCTCATAATAGTATACTGTCCAGCCCAAAATATTTTCTTTAAAAAAAAAAAGCATTCTAACTGCCATGTAGATAGTTCTTAGAGGACAGGAAACTGCTTCTTAGTTTTAATGAGAGATGGCAGTAGGCTGGCAGATAAAACTGAAAAAGTGGTCTCTTCTAAGGTAAGTTTAGTAGGTCAGATTGCCAAACTACGGCTTGAAAATTCAGTGTTAAATATGAATTTAAGTCTAAAAGGTGGAAATAACTGGGTAAACTCAAGAAATTCTCTATTTTAAATGGGTGACAGAGTAATTTTCTTTGAGACAATGATATTTATGCAGAGAGTAAATGGGGTTAAGGAAAGGCCTGGTTTATGCATAAATGTAACTATAGAATTCAAAGTTCTTGAACCTCACACAGCTTTATATAAAAATGCAATGGTTGAGAGAATATACATTAACTTCATGTATATTTACACTGAATTTAATACATGTCCAACATGTATTTATTATGATTATTCAGAGCATGACCTTCAGAACTATGGCATCTGGGAGTGGTAGCAGAGGCCCCTATCTAATTCTAGCTACTAGGGGACTGAGGCAAGAGTTAGAGGCTCACACAGGCTACAGAGCAAATTCAAGGTCAGTTTAGGCAATTTGAGAGAGATCCTCTCTCAAAATAAAAATAAATAACCGAGATGGAGCTGTAACTCAGCAGTAGAGTGTACAAGGCACCAGGTTTAATCTTCATCCTCAGTGGTGCACTGGGGAGGTGGGAAAGAGGGAGGGAGGGAGAGAGGAAGGGAGGGAGGGAGGAAGGGAGGGAGGGAGAGGGAGAGGGAAAGAAAGAAAGCAGACAAACTCTGAGACGTTCAAGTCACATTTCTGTCAAATGCTGGCCTGAAACTGGGCTCTGCTCATCCCGGCTGGTTTCCTTGTGAAGTGAAGTGGTTAGAGCTCGTGTTTATATTGCGTAAGTTAAATGTGGCACCTGAGGATATAATGCTGCTTTGTTCTTCCTCGCTCCAAAGAAAAGGGGGACTCAGAGCAACTGGAACCGCTGGTTTCAAGTGAAGCCAAACACAGCACAGACGGCAGCTGGACTGAAGATCGCTAGCTGTCTTTGTTTCCTGCAGCCTTCTGGAGTCAGATGCATTTCTGGCTCTCGAGAAGGTCTGAATACCGAGGATGGACTGTGGCCATCTGGTATTTTTGAGGAGGTGCCATTGGATGATGACGACAGTACTGGGCTAGGAATCAGGAAACAAGAGTCCCACGGCAGATCTAGCCTGGATTCCGGACTGCCTCCAGTTGGCTACTTGGTCTCTTTGGGCCTTGGTTTTTCATCTCTGGAAGTGGCACTAGATTAAGCTCAGTGTCACCATAATGCTCACTCTGACTCAAAAGGAAAATATGAAGACTCCCACCTAACATTACACATGCAGTCTGTTTAATCACTCTGTGTTAAGAAATGTGAACTCACTATGTAACAATTATTATTGTAGGCATCAGGCACATGGCAGTAAACAAGAACCCACAAAAATCCTCATGGAATTTACATATTCATGTCTGCAGTGGCTCCATTTACATTTATAACATCTTAACAAACACTTTAAGAAAGGCTTTTGTTTATTTAATATTCAACTAAGCAAACAATTTTTCTTTTCAATACTTCTCTCGAGTACTGCCTCATTTGTCCAGGAAACCTTTCCCCTGAAGACTTCTGTATTTGGAGTAATGCTACTTATTCATTAATTGTATGTATATTTATATTTTGACACATATAAAAATAATTCTAATTGAACGAATCTGTTGGTGTTAGTCATTTCTATCTGAACATAAACTCCTTGAACAAATGACCATCTAGTGCCAACATCCTTAGCACAGTGCTGGGTAGAGTGATGGCCAGTAAATACATCCTTGCCAAGTGGATCTGTACTTCTGGAACACACTGTATCTGAAACTCGGGCCCTCACTGACTTGTGTAGGAAGAGCCCTCACAGCAAGATTCTGCCTGCAGCTATCTGAGTCTTGGGCTCTGGCCAGATTCCCTTTGCTCTGCCTGCCCTTTCCTGCCCCTAGGTTTCTCTCTCACCCAAGGCTCAGGCAGACTGGAAATTTCACCAGGAGATTTCTGAGCACAGGGCCCTCCAAAGTGATCAAGCACATCAGCCAGTTGTTGTGGCACACGCCTTAAGTTCCAGCACTGGAAGTCAGAGACAGGTGGATCTCTGCAACTGGCCAGCCAAGACTACATGGTAAAACTGAGCCACAAAATGAAACAAAAGTGATTGAGCACATCACAAGAAATACAGAAAACCCAATGAGGGGTAAGAAGGTATTAGTGTACTCGAATTCTATAATCTACATATGCACATATAAACTTTGCACATGTTTATGTGTATACAAAATACATAGATATGCCAGTATGTACAGGTATACAAATAAATACAAGTGTATATACACACAGATATATGAGTGTGTGTGTGTGTGTGTGTACACATCTAGATTCATTAAAATCTATGCATGCAATACACTTAGACAAGTGGGTGTATATCCAAAAGTACATACTTGTGTGCCTATAAATGTATGTGCATGTTCATATGTATGTACCTACATATACATGCATACTTATATGTACAAACATACATATTAGCATAAGCTCATACACTTACGTGTACATGCATGCATATGCATATATATGCACACACATACATTTACTTTTTATAAAAAAGAAGAAACATTAAGATTTGCTGACATGGAAGCACACTCACTTGGCACACCTGTCTAGTGGCCCCTTGGCATGTATTGTACCTAGGTCCCTTGAGGGAAGTAGAGAATGACTCTTCAGCAAAAGAGTCACTGAGAGTTCAATGAGGTAGATTTACAGATTACATTATCTGGTTTTAACTAGTTTGCCCTCACAAGTAAGAAAACAACTTTTTTTTTTTTTTTTTAAAGATTTATTTATTATGTATACAGTGTTCTGCCTACATGTATGCCTGCAGGCCAGAAGAGGGTGCTAGATCTCATTATAGGTGGTTGTGAGCCACCATGTGGTTGCTAGGAATTGAACTCAGGACCTCTGGAAGAGCAGCCAGTGCTCTTAACCGCTGAGCCATCTCTCCAGCCCCAGAAAACAACTTTTAAAGATTCTTACCTGGAGAACCAATTCGGAAATAATCCCGCCGGTGTCAAGGACTAGTGTGGTGCTCAGTGGATGCCAGGCACTAAGTGCCCATCTCTGTCCACCCAGCTCACCATCCTGAACACCACACTTTCATTCCCACTGAGCCATGACAAAAATGGACAGCAGTTTAAATTAGTGGCAGAGCAGCGGTTGAGCTGGGATGGTCTGTCCTCACTCAGTGCCTGACACCACAACACTCTGCTGCCTGTGAACAAAAGGAAACCAAAAAAATGCTAAGCAAATGTTTCTTTCTTGGTTTACTGTCTCTCTCAGACATCTTAGGAAACTAAGAAGCTGAAGCTTGGAACATGTACTGAGTTTACTAATAATCAAACTAACGTATATGGATGCTTTCCCAAATATTCAACAAGTCAAATAAATTTGGAGACTGCTGCCCGAGGCATGAACAAGTAATTAGCTGACTTTCTGCGAGGGCTCAGCAATCTTATGCTTCAAAATTTTGGTTGTCATTTCTTCCTGGGAAATGAGAGTCTGTGTGGTTAACAGTTTTATTATAAAATTACCACTTTCTACCTGTAGACGATGTTAGAATTTCCTAAACTACTCAAATAACCTATTCTAATGACCAAACAGTGAAGACTTTGGGTAACACTTATGATCTTCTCAGGCTCTCCCGAGCAGCTTCCACCTCCAGGAATGTCTCCTCACTGTGTATCTATTGGAGCTGTCAGCATTCAGTTTAGCCATTGCATCACACATGTGACCCAGACTGAGTCAATCACAGGTAAAGAGGGTCCCTTTTCTCACTAAAAAAGTTCTACCAATCATCTGGGGCCATGATCTGACAGATCTTGTTTCCCTATCCTCAGGATTCCATGTTTACATCCACAACTATACCTTTTCATTATAGTGATTTTTAGTTACAGGTAGGGCTGTTATGTGGCCATGTTAGTTATGCTATGTATGTGGCGGTTTGGCTATTAACAAATAGAAGCCTCCGTTAGGACCAGGCTCTGCTCATCCAGCTCTGAGTCCTGATGCAGTTTTCCAGATATACACATTGTCTAGTGCTAAGGTAGTTCGAGCTACCTGAGAGTAGAGAACATTATTAGTCACTCATCTCCCACAGACCCTGGTGGCATGCCTCATCAGAAAACTCTCAACAAATATCTGTTGAATTGTATTTCAGACACACATCCTTCATTATTTTTCATCTACTTTATTCAATGATGCAGAAAATCAGTCAGTCCTCTCCCTTTATACTTTAAGCCTGTATCAGAATGGCCAATGCCTTAGAGACACTTAGTAGGAACTGACCATAATGAATGAATTTAATGAATTCTCTCTCTCTCTCTCTCTCTCTCTCTCTCTCTCTCTCTCTCTCTCTCTCTCTCTCTCTTTCTCTCAGATAGTGTTTCCTGTAAGCCACACTGGCCTCAAGCTCACTGTGTAGCTGTGGGTGACCTTGAACTTTGGGTTCTCTTATACCTCCTAAGTGGTGAGATTATGGGTGTGTGCTGCAGTGCCAGGGATTCATGCATGCTTGGTAGGCACTCTGCCAGGTGAGCTCTCAAGACACTCCACATTGTCTAATCTACCTCAAGATCAACATTCTTTCAGAGACTGCAGAATGTTCAGCCCTAAATAGGACATTGACATCTCACCCCCTCCCAAGGCTCAGGGTTCATCGCAGGGTAAAGAGTGAAAGAGTGCAAGAGCCAGAGGCAGTGGATGACTACAAGGAAGCAGTGCTTCTGGACACAGCACGCAGCTGCACGTATGAATGCACAGCAGTTGGGACAGCATGCTCAACACCTGATTTTATTTTACAGGGGGTTGCAATCAAAGAAATTGCTTTGGTTCTCAGAAGAAACTTTGGACTTTTAAATTGTGTTTAGATCATGAAAGACCATGGGGATTTTTGAAGCTGGACTAAGTACATTTTAAATTATGATACAGCCAAGAGCGTATGGGGCCAGGGAGTGGAATGTGATAGTTTGAATGAGAATGGCTCCACAGGCTCATGTATATGAATAGCTGATTTCCAGTTGATGGAAATGTTTGGGAAGGATTAGGAGGTGTGACCTTGTTGGAGAAGGTGTGTCACTGGGGTTAAGCTTTGAGGTTTCAAAATGCTCATACAATTTCCAGTGACCTCTTTCTGCCTCGTGGCTGTGGATCAGGATATACACAGGCTCTCAGCTGTTCCCTCACTCTGCCATCATAGACTCTAAACTTCTGAAACCATAAGCCATATTAAACTCTTTCTTTCAGAAGCTGACTTGGTCATGTTGTTTTATCACAACAATAGAAAAGTAGCTAAGAAAGCTACCATAGAGATATTTATACTCTATGTTTGTTATTGCTTTATTCAGTAAGTAAGGAAATAGAACCAACCTGGCTGTCCATCAACAGATGACAGTTGATAATAAAAATCTGAAACACATATAAAATGAAATACTATTCAGCTCTAAATAAAAGTGAAGTCACAAAGCTTTCAGGAAAATGGTTATACTTAGAATGTATAATATTAAATGAGGTCACACAACCTCAAAAAGAAAGATTCCAATGTCCTCCTTCACAAGAGGCCCCTAATCTATTATATATAATATATATAAACAAATGTACATGTGAGTATAGTATAACAAGTAGAAAGGATAGCAAGGAAAGGTAAATATTAGGTGATGAGGAAGGACAGAATGCAAGTAAAGAACACACATATCAGCAAAGAGAGCATAAAGCTAATTATTTTTTAGTTTTAACTCTGTTGTGGAGTGTGTGTGTGTGTGTGTGTTAGATAAGTGCATAAAAATATAATTTATAGTGAATGTGCAGAATCCACTGTGAAGCCCCAGCTTCAGAACAGCTGTTCTAGCATTCCCAAAGTCCTGTGAGATGTGGAGACTTTGGTTCTGCTTAATCCTGCTGCAAGTTCTTTACAATAAAGTTTTAATTACTAAAAAAAAAAAAAAGTAAAGAAAAAAAACAGAAAATGAAAAAACTACTGCTAAGGAATAATCCTTCTGTACACTGTGTGATTGGTTTAATTAAACAAGCTGACTGGCCAATAGCTGAACAAGATAAAGTTAGGCGGGAAAAGTTAAAATGAGAATGATGGGATGAGGTAGGGCAGTCAGAGGGGTCACCAGCCAGACATAGAGGGAGCAGGAGATGAACATGCCATGCTAATAATGGTATCACCATGTGGCAGAGTGCAAATAAAGAATATGAGTTAACTCAAAATGTAAGAGCTAGTTAGTATTAAGCCTGAGCTATTGACAGAGCATTTCAAATTAATACAAGCCTCTGGGTGGTAATAATAAATAATTTAATTTAAAATATTAATAAGCTATATTTTATACTTATTTCTTTCTTTTTTTTTTTTTTTTTTTTTTTTTTTTTTTTTTGAAAGGGGTTTTTTTTTGTCTCTTTGCGCCTTTCCTGGAATTCACTTGGTAGCCCAGGCTGGCCTCGAACTCACAGAGATCCGCCTGCCTCTGCCTCCTGAGTGCTGGGATTAAAGGCGTGCGCCACCACCACCCGGCCTTTTTTCATTTTTCATTCCATACTATTACTATAAAATATTCATCTTTCATTGAGGATTACTATAATCCTCAGAATGCTATAAAGCAATTAGTATACCTCCTCCTTTAATATCCTCAAGCAATACTGAGATCTCTTCAAATGCCAAACTTATGACCATTATTCTATCACCAAGATCTTATTAAATCATTTCAGAAAGATTAGCACCATGCCACCAACTTTATTAGATACCTCCTTATTCTTTCACCTTGAAAAAGTGTGCTTGCAAAACCCTAGGTTTGTCCCACACAGAATACTTTAATCGTTTTCATGGAGATAGCATGTAAGTGCAGAATAGTCAACAATTATGACACAAAGAAAGTACAGCTGTTGGGTAATTGGAAAGATTGGTTTTCTAGCTAAGTGACTGTTTTATCAATTAATTCAAGAAGCAACCAAGTCAGTGGTTCTCAAGCTGTGTGTGGGTCATCAGATGTCCTGCATATCAGATATTTACATTACCGTTAGCAAAGTTACAATTATGAAGTAGCACTGAAAATAATTTTGTGGTTGGGGGTCACCACAACATGAGGAGCTGTATTAAAGGGTCACAGCATTAGGAAGGCTGAGAACCACTGCTCTAAGGCCACCTACTCTAACACAGTGTCAAAGCTGCATATTCCCTTATGGAGCTGTCCAGTGCAGACATAACTGTGTCTAGCACATGCTGATTGCTTTCTATATACCAGGCAGTATATCAAACTCTGCCTACACCTTATATCAACTTTCTTACTTTTAGGATGGGATGACAGTATACCCATGGATATAATTATTGAAATAATTAAGTGAAAAATAACATATGCAAAACTCCTAGAATGAGGTCTGATGGATATTTTTCATATAATCTTAACTACAGTAGTTTTGGGATTATTATTCTATTGTTTACTACAGCCTTGTAAAATAGGGGTATTACTTTTTCCACATTACAGATAGGATGCTTAGTGGATTTAAAATCATCCAAGGAGAAAAAATAAATTTATCCAAGCAAAGTCTATGTGATAGTTTGAATGTAATTGGTTCACATGAGCTCACAGGAAGTGGCATTATTAGGTGGCGTGAGCTTGTGTTGAAGTGTGGCCTTGTTGGAGGAAGTTGTATCACTGTGGGGGTGGGCTTTGAGGTCACCTATGCTCAAGCTATGCCTACTTCAGCTCACTTCCTGTTGTTTTCTAATCAAGATGTAGCTCCTTCTCCACTCTCTTCTCCAGCACCATGTCTGCCTGCACACCACCATGTCCCACCACAATGATAATGGACTAAACCTCTGAAACTACAAGCCACCTAATTAAATGTTTTATTTTCTGAGAGTTGCCATGGTCATGGTGTCTCTTCACAGCAATAGAAACCCTGTTAGTCTAACCCTAACAGTCAATTTTTTTTTTTTTTATGAATGTCCCCTTTTTGTTGCAGGATCCACACTAAAGTACTGTAGTACATCTAGTTGTCAAATATCCTCTTCTCTGGTGTGTAACCAGCATTTTTTCTTTTCACCCAAAGAGTCCCCCTCCAAAAAATTTCATCCAATGGAAGGAAATAAGACAGAGGATTTCTCTATGTTGTCCTGGCTGGCCTTCTGAGCCTTGCTACAGAAACCAGGCTGGCCTTAAACTCACAGAGATCCTCCTGCCTCTGCCTCCTGAGTGCT